AATGAACTTGACCTAATATTAACTTTACCAAGGATTCCATTTGTTTCAAAAATTCTGTCAAGTTGAAATGTTTTTTCTAAAAGTTAGAAATACGAAAGTTCTAACGGCTGAATGGAGAAAGCTTGGATGGATGGATCTCTTATTTAACTTAAAAGACTAAACTCGACACTTTAAATCAAATTAAGAACCCTTCAAAACCGCCCTCCAAGCTTCGTAAAAAAGCATGGATTAACTAGAAATAGAAAGATGTATGAGCGCACAACGACGCAGCAAGTAAGATGGCGGAGAACTCTCGCGGTTGCTTCACCTTGAAAGGAGTGGGCTAATGGGAGTGTCTTCTCCACTTACTCCTAGCTCCATGGTATTACACCCTTGTCAGATCTATTTTTAGAAACTGGGGGTAAAAAATTATCGTTTTCTGTATTGGAAATGAAGGAAGTAGTAATTTTATTTTTATTGTTAGACATTGAGTTTAATTCGAAAGTATTTTTCGTTTTTATGCAAAGGAAATTTAGTTTTAGAATAAGGAGAAATCACATTTTCTTTTGAAATTCGATCATATTCTTTTTTTGCTTCATTTAAATCATCCAAAATATTTGGTGGAATTATTAAATCACAATAAAGATTTTTACAAACGGCTGCCGTTACTGTTATGGGATATTCACGAAAACTTGGAAGAGCTAATTTTATTTTTGAAAGTTCCGCTTGTACTTCATTTCCGAAAGCACAAGTTAATTGAACAGTTCCAACACTTATTGTTTTGGAGGGAATTAAGTGATCTCGGACGCAAATAATATTGGCTCCCGAATCAACTAACGATTGAACGACTAGTTTATTTTTAACGAAAATTTTTTCATATTGTAATTCATGCTTAGATTCATTAAATATTTTAGCTTCCACTTTGCAAACAGGATCTTGATTTGAGTTAAATCTACGATTTGAATTAGTTTCGTTTCTGGGAAAGCTTTCGCGGGAATTATTTCGTGGTTGGTATTCTGTAGGATTTCTCTCATATGAATTACGATTAAAACTTTGAAATGAGTTATTTTTTTGCTTGTTGTCGAACGGTTGTTGACGGTAGTGTTTTGGACTCTGCTGATTTCTTCTGAAATTTTATCTTGTTTAACTTAGCGATTTTCGTTTTGACGTAAAGAAAACATCACATTTTTGAGCAAGTTCTGGAGGTTTTAACCATTCTTCACCTTGAATTATGGTAATATGCGATTGAGTTTCATAATCTAATGTTGAATAGAGTTTATCGGCGATAATTAACTGGGATAATGTTTTAAAGTCAGTTGCTTTGCGTATTTTGCAATAATACTCGAGGGATGTTGTTAATCGTGATGCAAATTGTGTGTGTGATTCATCTGGCATGCGTTGAGATTTTCGAAAATTCATTAAACATTCGTGTGGTGTTGGCTGAAAATGTTTCAAAACGGCATTTTTAACTTTTTCATATTCTCGGAGATCATTTTCTGAAATGTTTAATAAAACGTGACTTGCTTTTTCGCCTGAAATATTTATAAATATTTCAGATTTTATTTCATCCTGTACTCTTTTTGTGGTAAACGAACGTTCTAGAGATTGAAAAAATAAGCTGTAGTTCTCCGGTCTTGTCGGCATAGGCATGCTAAGTGTTCGGCATGCTTCTAATAATACGGCACAGGCATGCTTCTAATAATACTTTCGATATCGAGACCATCTTCACTTGCGTCTGAATTTCTAGATGAGTTCAGGTTGGCACTAGGAGTGTTTCGAAGGTTTGCTAATTCGATTTGTCGTTCCAGCTGTGCGAGTTTAATTTTTTCTAATTCTATCTTAGCACTTTCGTTATCTTCGCGGGCTTTTCGTTCTTCGACGGTTGATGCGACTAGATATTTAACGAAATCTACGTTCGCTTTGAATACTTCACTTGATTCAATTAAGCCTTTTAGAGTAATTAACGTAGCGTTTTCCAGTACAGTTATTCCTAATTCAAATGCGATCTGTAGTAGATCTTCTTTTCTCGTATTTTTATACATGTTTATTAATAAAGATGCTCCTACCTGTATTTCTTGAAATTGAAAGTAAATCCGTTAATTTTATCCTTTTCGTGATAATTCCAAATATTTTTCCAACGGTGTTGATTTGAAGGAACGGCGTTTTTTTTTTTGCTCTTGATGATCAATGGCGGCAGTTTCGTTTTGCCGGTGTAGCTGTAGGAGGATTCTTGTTTCGTTTTATACTGATGTTGACTTTAGCTTAATTGAGATAGGTGTGACTGAGCCCCCATGTTACGGACGGGGAGTGTCGATGAAGCTTCAAAGTAGTCTAGTGTTGCGTTTAAAGCTTTTATTATGACAAAAACACTTAAATGGCAATACAAAATAATTAGAGCAGGAACATCTTAATGAACTCTTTCCCCGTAGCCGTTCAGTGAGTGAATGTAGAGGGAGTCTGCTTAACTCATGGAGCTAGGAGTAGATGGAGGAGA